TTAACGTTTGGACTTGATGATCTTAAAGGTCTTTTCCAACTTAAACGATTCTATGATGCTGTGTGGTGCCAACCTGCTAGACCAGACACAGTCTGTGCTGTTTCCTACAGTCGTGATGCCTGGAGTAACCTTAGCCATGTTGTTACTCTACACCTGGATGAGACAGTAGCACACTGTACTGTGAACAAAAGTGGACATGGGCAGAGAGAAAGCCATGTTGTTGTCTTACTGTTTTCCCAGTCTGGACGATCAGTGAATAAGGGCTGCAGGACACATTGCAGAGCATGCTTGCCTGGCGGTGTATGCAAAGGTGTGCCAGGAAGAGGTTTGATGTGGCTGTTTTTCTTGGGCCAGGATGCATTTGATATTTGTTAATGTTTACGTTTAGTCTAATGAGATTGGCCAAATGGCTCTTGTACCCTTGACACAGTGCTGCATGTTAAGGGAAATACGAATCTTAAACATCCTAATGTATTTTTAAAAGGACTTCCTCTGTGTCCTGTTTTTCATTCACACCTGAAACATCTTTTAAAAGTTTTTGGAATATTTTGATTTCCCTTTGCTGACAAGATTTAGAAAAAAGCTCCTCCTGTATTAAATATGTTACTCAACTATCATGACATTCTTTTGTTGTCTTCCTCAAGCATTTGAATTCTGAAATAAAGTCAATTAGAAACAACAGGCTACAGCAAGAGAAAATATTTTTGTTAAACATGTGAACTGTAGCACTGGAGCAGATCTCTCCTTGGGGTTTCTTCTAGTAGATTTCAGATGGGACAGAAGTGAAGAGAATAGAAAGGGAGGGTGGATTCTGGTAACCAGCCGCGCCTAGCTTTGTTGTTGTTGACTTGCTCCCACTTCGTATGGCACTGGAGATGTAGTTTTTTAGAAGGGATTTAAATTGCATGATGGATAAGAATTACCCTGTGAATATTTTCTTTGGATTGGGTTCATGGAAACAGATGACAGGAAAAGAAGTAGAATCAGGATCTGGTTTGGTGGCTCTGCAGAGATCAGAGGTGCAGAAAGATAAATACTCAGAGACTTAAGTCAGGAGTGTTATGTGAAAAATACTTTTAAATTGTAGAAGATATAGTTTCTGTGTCCCTTTTTTTCCCCACTTGTCTCAAATGGAAATTGATAATGTGCTATTTTCAGGTATTGGGGAAGAACTTAATGAAAGTAATTCAGGTGCTGAAAGCACTAAGAAATCAGTTGGTGTTGAGAGTCCTCTCTCAGATGATGATGCTTCACAAAAAGCAGCAGATTTGGAAAACGAAGCTGCTGATGACTTGACTTTATCCTTTCATGAAAAGAATCTTCAGCAAGTAATGCTTTTAGAAAGTGAAAACGTACAGGATGACAGAAAAGATGGTGAAGAAGAATATTTGGAAAGTCAAAATGAGGGTGATGACAGAAAAAATAATGAAGAGTGTTCAGCTGCTGAAGAAGTACCGTGTGATAATAGTGAAAGTGACCACTGTCATGACTTGGCTATTTGTGAACTACAGAAAAAAAGAAATCAAGAGGAAAACAAACCAATACCAAAGCCACGGATGCACAAAACAAGAAATGCTTCAGCATCAGGTGAAAAGAAAGCATTTGAATGTTGTTGCTGCTACTTGCTTAGCTGTATTAGAGTATTTTAAAGTGTTGTAATTTGGGTTATTTTCTGTATTAAGTATCAGCTGCTTTGGCTTGCAGGGGATTTATTCAATATTATTCTAAAAATACACGTTTTGATAACGTCCAGCTGCCAGGGGGTAAACTGAACCAGTGTGGGCCAAGTAGCAGGAGGTCCCTATTTGCCTTTTCCTTTCAGGAGATGAAAAACAGCTGTTTGGGATCTTGAAGTCCAGCTCTCCATCAGTGCATGTCCATGGGAGGTGCAGGAGGCCTACAGAATTGCCTCCTCTGTGTGTGCATAGCACAGAATGCCATATTCACATGGTGTCCACAGCATCCATGCACCCTTTAATGGAAAGGTCCTTAAACAGGCATCCCTTCTCTATGACCAGTGAAGTGGGACCACAGTGATCGCAAATACAACGTTGAAGTCGTGATGCTCAGACATCATGATGCTGTAATGTAACAGAACATCAGGAAATGAGCTGTAACCAAAATATTTATGAATGGTAGACTTCTCATCATCACAAAGTTAAAACTTCAAATGATTTTTTACTTTGAAGCTACCGAGCCACTTTGGATGTATAGTCAAACATGTAAAAAGAGAACTTTAATGTTGTACTATAAGAATAGCTAATTCATTTTTAATATGCAAAGCAGAGCTCAGAATTCTGTTAATTGACTATATGTGCTTTTACAAATTTAAAATGTCAAAAGAGATAATATTTTTTATCTGCTTCCTAATATGAGAAGATGTTGTCCGGTTTGATGTTGAGAGAAATTTATGGCTGGTCATTACCTGTGATGGAAGATTACAACTTTGAAACTGGTAGAGCATGATGAGCCATATCAGATCCTTTTTTTCTTTCCACATGATGGCACCAAAGTGCTAGATATTTGAACGTGCAGCTGGGCACTGCAGGTGCCTCTCTTTCATGGCCTTGTAGTTTTAGACTGGCAGAAAAAAGTTGAAGTGCTCCTTTTCTTCATGTGAGGCTAAGTAGTACAGTGATACTAGCATATTGTCTTCAGCAATCAATCATTGTAAACTTTCTTCTATTAGATAAATTGATCCCTGTCCAACAGAGGAGGTGACTATACAGAGATTAATCAGCTCCTTCTGCTCCTTTAACTTTTCTTTTGATTTAGGGTATGAAAAAACTGTCAGGGTGCTTATAGGAATATTGTTGTGGCCTCTTAGCTCTCCAAACTTCACGCTAATTATATAACTAGACTATGCAGCTGAGTGTGCTGGATGAGGATGGTGATTCTCCCATTTCCTTCGACAGATTTGTACAAATTAGGACTTAATAAGAAATGCTTCTGTGGCAATGTGCAGAATTAGATATGCGTTTCTATGTGGATTGGCATACCTAAAGAAAAAGGCAGTTACAAAACTGGTGTATGGCTTGATCTTGTTGGTGGCAGGGCAGGGGGAATAAAACATGAGGAAGATAAGATTACTGATTAGGAGGAAGGTGAGGAGCCAGAGGATAGTAAGAAACTATTGTGCGGTGGTTCTGCTGCCCAGGCACTGCCTTGGGGAGGGAATGGAGACATCACGGAAGAAGCTAGAAATATACTGAAAGCCCTCCTCTTCGACTGCATTTCTCAAGATGTCTCCTCCTACCCAAGGTTATTCTGTTCTGCACTGTGTGGAAAGCAGCAGTCTTCCTTCTGTATCTTCTCTAGTAGATAAAGGGACAAGCAGGATAGCTTTGTTTTTCTTACATCAGTGCTGTATTAGAGATGTGCTCTCTTCTGGTGGATGAAAGGCTGGACATGAACTGGCAATGTGTGCTGGCAGCCCAGAAGGCCAACCGTACTCTGGGCTGCATCGGGAGAAGCGTGGCCAGCAGATCGAGGGAGGTGATTCTGCCCCTCTACTCTGCTCTGGTGAGG